TATATATATATATATAATGAATTAATAATCACTAGCTCATTCCAGAATCAATTTGGCAATTCTTTTTGTTAAATATTAACTCTTATAAGTTATAGTACTTTTTTCCTTCTCCTTTTCTTTTTTTTTTGCTAATTATATCTATTGTTACATGAAAAAAAATGCTTCTGATAATATCACTTTTTTTTACTGCTTTTTTTCCGTTCAAAAAAAAAAGAAAAAAAAAACAAAAACAAAAAAGCAAGGAACGAAAGAAAGAAAGAACTGTTTCAAATTCTTGATTGACAATTACTGATGTTGGAATTTCATATATGTCAGTAAAATGTTTAACTACATTTCCTACGTTTACTATTTCAAGTAACAAAGTTTCAAATTTCAATTGAATTTTTTTGTAAATTATCACTATATTTTGGCATATTTCATGTCCTTGTTAAATTTTACAGTCCGGGACAAATACTTATGATTTTTAAGCTACGTGAAATGTATGAAAGTATGATTTTCGTGTGGAACAAGACAGCATGCGATTGATACAAACATTTTAAAATTGTATTTTTCAATTAAGTGATATGATTGGAAATCAAAAAATGAAGTATATGTTGATTGTGTGAAGCGTGATAGTTTGATCAATATCGATCGGCATGAATGAAATTTCATAAAAACTCAATGAAGTTATCCCGCTGATGTTATTGGTACAGCCCGAATGATACTTTGCGGTTGCCCAGGGCTTGAGAGACAAGACGATATAGGGATTAAATTATTCATACACTTTTTTGCACTGCGTAGGGGATTTTATTAGTTCTTTGTTACATAACAGCGATATGAACAGACGTACGAATTCGTTGTAATCACTAGATGAATAGCTATAATCATTAAACAGATTACTACAAGTAGTTAGATGAATCGTTGTAATCACTAGATGAATAGCTATAATCATTAAACAGATCACTACGAGTGATTAGACGAGTCGTTGTAATCACTCGATGAATAGCTATAATCATTAAACAGATCACTACGAGTAATTAGATGAGTCGTTGTAATCACTAGATGAATAGCTATAATCATTAAACGGATCACTACGAGTAATTAGACGAGTCGTTGTAATCACTAGATGAATAGCTATAATCATTAAACGGATCACTAGAAGTAGTTAGACGAATCGTTATAATCACTAGATG